CTTCATCATACTTATCTCAGTTGTAATTTTATGTTTATCTGTGTGCCTGTGTGAGTTGCATATATTCCTAACTAGAATATGAGCTCATGATTGCAGAGACTTTTTTTCGTTTGCCTATCACTGTCTCCTCAGTGCCACTAGATATTCAATGAATGTTTGTATGCTTGGTGAATTGTTGAATGAATAAATGAAAGCTGTGATATGCTTTAATCCTCTTTATATTCCAGGTCATCAGTAAGAGGCTACCATACAACACTCTTATGACAGTAGAACAGTGTCCAGTACAGCAAGAGGATGGCAATCAGAAGACAAGTCACAGGGTAGAGCTAATAGCAGGAGTTCAAAGGAAAGCAACTCAAGTCGTAAGTGACCAGGAAAAATATCTGGAGCCCTCTCCCAACCCATAAGATGCAGAAATATTGTGAGGCAGAAGAGAGATGATCTTCCCATTGCATGTAGAATGGGGACTCTAGCCCTTCTATTAAAACATTAAAGGAAAATATGATTCTAGAATGCTGGGGAATCTGGGGCCAACACTTGGATTAAATACGTTCATTCAACAAAATTTGGGCACTTCTGATATTTAAAGAATTGTGCTAAATACTGTGAAAATATAAGTACGGCAAAATTTTTAAATTATTTAAAGGTGAAAAATATTCAAGCAAGTTGCCTCAGATTCCTTCTTGAATACAAAAGTTTAAATAAATTCATGACAATATAGAAAACTTTTAAAATGAGAAGATTAGATGAATATGCTTGTGCATCTGTGATTTCTAGTTATCTCAGTTGAACGGTTTGTACTAGAAAAGACAAATGCATAGACAACTATAATATAAGACAACGTGAGACATAAGAGAAGTAAACATTCAATGATATAGACAGAATACATAAAATAGTTAAGCACATGGGCTCTGTACGTAGATCTTGAAGCAAATTTTAGTTCTGCCACTTAGTATTATTTAATCCTGTTCCTCAGTTTCTTTACTTTTAATATAAAGAATAATAGTACCTGCCTTGTTATGTTCTTATAAGGATCGAAAAGGGATAAAACACAAAGCATGTTTAATGGAGCAAATACTAAACAAGTCTTGGCTGTATTATCCTTATTACCATCATTATCAAAAGAATTCAGAAGAGAAAGCCATGGCTTTTGGCTGGTACTAAAAGAGAAGAGAAAAAAAAAAAATAAGAGGAAAAGGAATGGAGGACAAAACAATTAAGATGAGCTTAAATGAAGTGTACAATTTTGACTTTTGGAGTTTAAATGGGAAGTAGGGAGAAACTTTTCTAGAAAGATGGTGTATTACTATCTTACATCTGCTACAAATTGCTAGGCTTAAAAAAACAGAAATCCATTCTCTCATAATTCTAGAGGCCAAAAGTCCTAAATCAAGAGGTTGGCAGGGTTGGTTCCTCTGGAGAGTCTGGGGGAGAATGCATTCCTTGCTTCTTACCTTCTGGTAGCTGTTGGAAATTCTTGGCATTCCTTGGCTTGTAGACATATTACTCCCATCTTTGAATCTGTCTTCATAAGGTCTTCTCCTCTGCATCTCTGTATGTCTTCTCCTTCTCTGTCTTTTATAAGGACATGTCTTATAAGGACACAAGGACACTGTCATTGGATTTAAGGATTCAACTTTCCCCTCAGCTTGACTAAACCTTAGACATGCTTCTTGACTCTAGACCCTTGACCTCCCTTTTTTCAGAGTATTTTAGAAAACTTGTGATTGTAAATTCTTCCTTTTCTCTCACACTCTTGTAAGTTTTACAACCCAGAAATGTCTTTCTCAAAAACTTGAGAGCCAGCCTTTTAAAAGGCAATCATCAAGAAAGATAGTGCCCTATCTTCCAGTCTCTATGAGAGTGTAGGAGCCAAATTTAGATAAGTGACAATTAGCAAACACAGATGACCTAATCACAGTGACCATATCGTTTCTGTGGGTTCAGCTTTTTTAGATTCCACATATAAGTGAGATGATATAGTATTTGTCATGCTCTGTCTAACTTATTTTACTTAGTATAATATCCTCAAGGTCCATTCATGTTGTCACAAATGGCAGGATTTCCTTCTTTTATGGTTGAATAATATTTCATTGTATATATACACCACATTTTCTTCTTCCATTCATCCTTTGATGGACACTTAGGTTCTTTCCATGTCTTGGCTACTGTAAATAATGCTGCAATGAACATAGGAGTGCAGATACCTTTTGAGGTAGTGATTCATTTCCTTTAGATATACACTCAGAAGTGGAATTGCTGGATCATATGGTAGTTCTATTTTTAATTTTTTGAGGAACCTCCACACTGTTTTCCACAGTGACTGTACCAGGTTATAGTCCCACCAATGCTGCACAAGGATTCCCTTTTCTCCACATCCTTGGCAAAACTTATCTTTTCCCTTTTTGATAATAGCCATTCTAATAGGTGTGAGTTGATACGTCACTGTGGTTTTGATTTGCATTTCCCTGATGATTAGTGATGTTGAATACTTTTTCACGTACCTGTTAACCCTTGTATGTCTTCTTTGGAAAAATGTCTATTTGGGTCCTTTGCCCATTTTATAATCAAATTATTTGTCTTTTTACTATCGAGGTGTGCGAGTTGGATATTAACTCTCCACAGATGGTTTGGAAGCATTTTCTTCCATTCAATAGGTTGCCTTTTCATTTTGTTGATGGTTTCCTCTCCTGTGCAGAAGCTAAGTTTGACGTATTCTCATTTGTTTATTTTTGCTTTTGTTGCCTGTGCTTTTGGTGTTGAACCCCAAAAATTGTTGCCTAGAACAACATCAAGGAGCTTTTTCCCTATGTTTTCATCTAGGAGTTTTATAATATCAGTTCTTATGTTTAATCCAAACTATGGTATTGGCATAAAAACAGATACATAGGCCAATGGAACAGAATCAAGAGGCCAGAAATAAACCCATGCATGTATCTCTTCAATAATTAGTGCTGGGAAAACTGGATATTGACATGTAAAAGAGTAAAATTGGACCCTTTCTTATGCCACTCACAAAAATTAATTTTTTGATTACTATAGCTTTGTAATATAGTTTGAAATCAAGAAGTATAATGCCTGTAGCTTTGTTTTTTTCTGAGAATTGCTTTGGCTAATGGGGGCCTTTTGTGGTTTCATATGAATTTTAGAATTTTTTTCTATTTCTATGAAAAATGCCATTGAAATTTTGACAGGGATTGCACTGAATCTACAGATCACTTTGGGAATAACGACATTTTAACAATATTAAAGTTTTTCGATCTGTGAGTGTGGAGTTTCTTTCCATTTATTTATGTCTTCTTCAATGTCTTAAAGTTTTCAGTGTACAGAAATTTCACCTCGTTGGTTAAATTTATTCTTAAGTATTTTATTATTTTTGATGCCATTGTAAATGGGATTGTTTCTTTTTTAGCTAGTTCATTGTTAGTGTATAGAAAAGCTACTGATTTTTTTTCTTGAGGAAGATTAGCCCTGAGCCAACATCTGCCACCAATCCTCCTCTTTTTGCTAAGGAAGATTGGCCATGAGCTAACAGCTGCCCCCATCTTCCTCTACTTTACATGTAAGATGCCTGCCACAGCAAGGCTTGATGAACAGTGTGTAGCTCCGCATCTGGGATCTGAACCAGAGAATCCTGGGTTGCTGAAGCAGAGTGCATGAACCTAACCACTAAACCACTAGACCAGCCCTGAAAAGTTACTAATGTTTGTATGTTGATTTTGTATCCTGCAACTTTACTGAATTCATTTATTATTTATGACAGTTAATTTAGTGGATATTTTAGGGTTTCCTATATATAAAATCATGTCATCTGCAAAACAGAGACAATTTAAGTGCTTTTCTGACTTGGTTACCTTTAATTTCTTTTTCTTGACCTATTGCTCCAGCTAGGACTTCCAGTACTATGTTGAATACAAGTGGTGAGAGTGGGCAACTTTGTCTTGTTCATAATATTAGAGGAAAAGCCTTCAACCTTTCACTGAGTATAACATTAGCTGCAGGCTTGTCATTTATGGCCTGTATTATGCTGAGGTATGTTCCTTCTATATCCAACTTGTTGAGAGCTTTTATCATGAAAGGATAAAATTTGAATTTTGTACAATGTTTTTTCTGCATTTATTGGGGTGATCATATGATTTTTATCTTTCATTATATTAATGTAGTGTATCACATTGATTGATTTATATATGTTGAATCATCCTTGCATCCCAGGGATAAACCCCACTTGATCATGATGTATGATCCTGTTGAATTTGTTTTAGTAGTATTTTATTGAGAATATCTGCATTTTGTTGAGAATATTCATGAGGGTAATTGGCCTGTACTTTTCTTTTCTCATAGTATCTTTATTTGGCTCTAGTATCAGGGTAATGCTGGTATCATAAAGTGAGTTGGGGAGTGTTCTTGTCCCTTTGATTTTTTGGAAGAGTTTAAGAAGGAATGGTGTTAATTCTTCTTTAAATGTTTAGTAGAATTAACGGGTGAAGTTATTTGATCCTGGGATTTTCTTGGGAAGTTTTCGATTACTAATTCAATCTCCTTATTTGTTATTGGTCTGTTTAGATTTTCTATTTCTTCATGATTCAGTCTTTATAGGTTGTATTGTCCTAGGAATTTATTCATTTCTAGTTTATCCAATTTGTTGCCATACAGTTGTTCACTGTGGTCTCTTATGACCCTTTGTATTGCTGTGGTATCTGTTTTGGTGTCTTCTCTCTCTTCTTTTATTTTATTTAAGTCTTCTCTCTTTTTTTTTGTAAGTATAGCTAAAAGTTTCATATTTTCAAAGACCAGCTTTTAGTTTCATTGATCTTTTCTATTGTTGTCCAGTCCCTACTTCATTATTTCCACTTTGATCTTTGTTGTTTCCTTCCTTCTGCTAACTTTAGGCTTATTTTGTTCCACTTTTTCTGCTTCCTTGAGGTATGAAGTTAGGTTATTTGAGATCTTTCTTTTTTTTTCTTAATATAGGCATTTATCAGTATAAACTTTCCTCTTAGAGCTGCTTTTGCTGCATCCCATAAGTTTTGGTATGTTTTGCTTCCATTTTCATTTGTTTCAAGATAATTTTTGATATCCCATTTGATCAGTAAAGAAAGAGCTGGTACTCAATTATTTCTATTACCACTACCTGATCCCACATTTAAAATATCTGGTACCTATTTAATTGCCCTAGTTTTGTAGTTCCTGCAGTGCAAAACATTCTATGTATACAGTCTGCTCAGTTTGAGTTAAAAATTTTTCTGCTTTCACCCTTCCATCATCTGCACAGCCTGGGCAGGATCCCATTTCTGCCTGGCATAAAAAACTGCCGATGAAGGAGGCTCCAGGGTCCTTGGGCTTCTGCCATTCCCAATGATCCCATCCCAGGGGCTCTGTCTCAGACATCTGCTTCTACAGTTTCAGTCTAACTTTTCCTTGCCAGACAGACTATTGATCTGGCGGTTTCCTATACAGTGCCTACCAGAAAGTTTCAGGTGTCACTTTCACATTGACTAGAGCTTACAGAAGGAACTAAGGAACTCAAAGTCAAGACTATTTGAATTTTAATTTCTTTTCAATCCATTGAGTCAAAATGTCTAATGGACATGTTCCACTGAAACAATTCTTCCTGCATTCCCAGACAACAATTTTGCAGCCCTAGGCCAAGGATAGTCCTCTGCCACACTAACATTGCAGATTCATGTTCTATTTCAGTTTATTTACAATCTCCTAAATCAATTTAGCCATCAGAGTCTGAGGTCTTTTCATCAGTCTCATTTTAAACACTAACCTGTGTGGTTATGATAACAGGATTGTGATGTAATTGACTGAAACATGCCAAAAGACATAGCAAAGGGTGTTTAAGTTTCTTTAAAGGCAGCTTATAGAAACTTATGAAGATGGTTTCACAAGGAAGGAGAAAACATAATGTGCCCCAGGAAGAGGTATGGCTCCAGGAACACTTCTGAAACAAATCTGGAGGGATAAGTAGGAGTTAGTGTAGTGTTACTGAGAAGAAGGGTGCATATTGACTTAAGTGAGCACATGTATCAAAGAGCCCTTTGAGGTTGGGTGGAGAACAAGTGATAACTTCAGTTTTGAACATGTTGAGTTTAAGTGTCTTCCTACACCAATTCGAACTGGTTGAATCTAGGCCTGCAGCGTCACTGTCATCCTGGGAACACTCCTCAACACTGTTCTCTGTCGGGACCAGTGTTTTCTGAGCCTACTATATTGCTTTTTCTTTATTTATTCCCTCTTTTGGGGGAAGATATTTTTAAGAATCTTCCTAAGAAATGGTGAATAGAAGTATAACTTGAAAATGTCTTTTTCTACTCTCACATTTAATAAACTGAGGCAGGAAAATATTCAAGTGCCATTTGTTATTTGAACTCTAACCAACTTGAAGAACAGAATAGATTCAGATAAATTTTTATATGAAACCTTTTTACCTATTTTCCAAATATTATCAATGAAATATATTTAAATACTAAGGAAGGGATATTTATGATTTTAGAGTGGATATTACTGCCCCTCAGTGTATTGAGGCAATTGTTTGACCATCTTCTTGCTTCTGTTACCACTTTTCCAGCATCCAATGCCTCCCTAATTCCCAGACCTTTGTAGTAACCTGTTACTTCTCTCTGGAGTTGTATTATTTAAGATTATTTAATTATTTGAGATTATAAATAAGATGATTTATTGCTAATTTTCTCAATAGATAACCACTGAAATCTCAAGTAACAAAACAAATGCTTATTTCTTGCTCACACAAAATCTAATGCAGTTCATTAGGAGCTCTCCTCCATCTGGTGACCCAGGAATCCAGGCTCTTCCCATCTTGTAATGCCACCATCTCAACATGTGGTTTTCAAGTTCACTTTGGCAGAGGAAGAAAGACTTGCAAAGGAAAGATGCTAGTTCTTAATTGCTTTGGCACAGAATCATCATGTCACTTCTGCTCATAGTACTTGGCAAAAAATACATGATTCTAACCCAGAGTTTCTAAACCTTTGCCATATTAACATTTAGACTAGATATTGGTTTGTTGTAGGGAGTTGTCCTGTGCATTGTAGCATATTTAGCAACATCTCTCGCTTCCGTCCACTCGATGGCAGTAACACGTCCCACTGGTGACAATCAAATATGTCTATTAACATCACCAAGATCTCCTGGGAGGCAAAATCACCCCTGGCTGAGAACCACTACTCTAATATAACGTCAAGGAAGTCTTCTGGAAAAACAGAAACGCATGGAATGTTTTATGATTGCTAATAGTTTCTGTCACCGAAAGTTTTCAGTTTCTTTTATCTTTGGTTTTCCAATTTTCACAATGAACTTTGTGGTTGACAGAGTTCCAAGATGGCCCCTGATAATCCTCACCTCCTAGGCTTCATGCCTTGTGTAATTCCCTCTTCTTGAGTATAGTATGGCCCAATGACTTGCTTCTAACCAATGGAATATGACAAAGGTAATGAACTATCACTTCCATGATTAGGTGTGACTTCTGTCTTATCAGCAAACTCTCTCTTTTGCCTTCTTGGCATTTATGCTTTGATAAATCAAGTTGCCATATTTGAGAGGCCTACAAGGCAAGTGACTAGAATGGTCTGTGGCAAACAGCAAACAAATTGCTGAGATTCTCAGTCTAATCGCCCACAAGGAATTGAATCCTGCCAAGAATTTGTGATCTTGGAAGTAGAGTTTTCTCCAGTTTGCAGTCAGATGAAACTCTAGTCTTGGCCAACACCTTGACTGCAGCCTTGTGAGAGACCCTGAATCAGTGAACTCAGCTAAGTTTGTCTGGATTCCTGACTCAGTGAAACCGTGAGATGATAAATGTATGTTGTTTTTAGTTATTACATTTTGTAGGCATTTGTTACATAGTAATGAATAATTAATACGAAGTGCCTTATTAAATTTTAATAATAAATAAATAAATGTTTTAAATTTATTACTTGGTCGCTATTTGGGCCCCTTAATTGTATAAAATCATCTTTGGTTCTTCAAATTAAAAAAAGTTTTTTCATTGATAAATAATTACCTTCTGTCTTCCTTGTTCTTTTTTTTTCTTGGCATTCCCTTTATTCTAATGTTAAACCTCTGGAACGGTGTCTCTCATTTTCTTATCTTCTTGTTCCTGTTTTCCTCCTCTTTGTCTTTATTCTACTTTCTGAGAGATCTCTTCAACTTTATCTCCAAAACCTTCTGTTGAATTTTCAGTTTCCACTATTATGTTTTTAATTTCCAAGAGCTCTTTCTTTCTTATTCTTATGCTATTCTTTTATAGCCTACCTTTTTCATGGATGAAAAAATTTTCATTTATTTTTCAGAAGGTAATTATCTATTTTTTTAATTTTTCTTCTGTTCTTCTGCACTCTTTCAGTTTTCTCTAGGTGACTTTTACTTTTTATTTGTTAGGGTCTCTGTCTATTATGTTGGAGACTTTTTTCAAATATTTGGTGAATATTAGATCTCCATTCATATTTTAACAGCTTTATTGAGGTATAATTAACACACAACAAATTGGATATGTTTAAAATATATAATTTGATACATCTTCACATATATACTCATGGAACTATCATGTTCAAGAAAATGAACATACCTATCATTCCCCAAATTTTCCTCATGCCCCTTTTCTCAATTATTTGTGTTGAAAAGCACGATAGTAAAAAGGTAATGGGAAGCTTTGGGTGGGTTTTTGGTCTTGTTGTATAATGGCCCTCATCATGGAGTGACTGGGTAGTGATTATATTAGTTACACATTGCTGGGTAACAAATTACTCCAAAATTAGCAGCTTAAAACAACAAACATCCATCATCTCACAGTTTTTCTGGGTCAGGAATTTGGGCACGGCCTTTGACTCAAGGTCTCTCACAACACTGAAACCAAGATGTTGGCAGAGGCTGCAGACATCTCAAAGCTCAAGTGGAGGAGGATCCGATTTCAAGCTTTTTCATATGACTGATGGCAAGCCTCAGTCTTTGCTGGCTGTTGGTCAGAGACATCAGTTTCTTGCCACTCAAGCCTCCCCTTGGGGCAATATGGCAGTTGATTTACCTCATAGTAAGTGAGAGAGAGTCCCCAACTCAGAAGCCACTATCTTTTTGTAACCTAACGTTGGAAGTAGCATCTCCTCACTTCTGCCATATTCTGTTCATTAGAGGTGAATCACCAAGTCCAGCCTATAGTCAAAGAGAAGAGATTACACAAGGGCATTGATATCAAGAAGCAGGGATCATTGGAGGCAAGTTTAGAGGCCGCCTTGCACAGAAGTGAAGTCATTTTCTTGGGAAACCCCCAAAATCAGTGTCTATAGGCCCTTCCTTGTGTGCCAGACAGAGACATTGACCTCCTCCCTGAAGTGTGTCACTGTGGCCCTCAAGAGGAGGAGAGAAGGGGAGAAAGTGGAATTAATAGAGAAGGAAGGTTGGGACTCTGGATCTGATTGTTCTGTATGAAACTTCACCTTCATTCAGTACAACATCCTTGTAGTTTTTGAAGGCTTTTAAGCAGGAAAACAGCATGATCAGAATTCAGTTTCAAAGTGATTATTCTAACAGTTGCAGATTGAACAAGAAATACTCAAAGATATGGGACTATTTCAGGAGTTACTGAAACAGAATGGTGACAGTGAATATAAAAGACAGGAAGAGTTATCTTTTCAGAGGAACAATTAATTGCCATTGCAACTATACAGATTTGGGGTGGGCAAATGGGCAAATAGAAGAGACTGTGTTTTTTCCTCTCTTTTCTGCCTCTGAATGACTCAACTGCTGCAGGTTAAAGGATATAATAGTATAGGACTTTAGCCTTGAGGCTAAACTACTAAGAATGCCTAAATATTAATATCCCACCAGTGTTTTGTTCTAGAAGTTCTCAACTATGATGTCTTGACATGCTGGCATGTTTCCATAATTGTGGGGTATACTACAAACAATTTTTTATTAATAATAGCTAAAGACGAAATTCTGAAAATTATTCATACTTTTAAAATACACTCTGCTAGGCTTGTAGTATTTCTATGATAATACTCTCACTCTTGTCCATTATAATATGGACCACGTGGAGATATGTGGTAATATGGGGGTCATTGGAACTGGATTTCAAGTTCCCAAGCCTATCCTAACCCAACCAGCAAGACGGGAATCGATTTTCGCAGCACCTGGAGTGCTGTTTATTGCCTCCCCATACCAGCTCCCCTATATATATGGTTAGCTTCTTCAAGTAATAAAAAATCAGTTAAAAATTAAATAGAAGAAATTTATGGGCAGACATTATAGTGCATCCTAGAAAGGGTACTTACCACAAATGAAATAATATTGAGGGGAAGAGGAATCTTGCTGAGATAGGAAGGGCCTTGTTTTCCAAACAGACTGAGGATAATAAGACTGTTCGGAGATCTGAGATCCAGGCAGGATGGTAGGAAAAAACCTCCTCACATTCCAGCATAGTCACACTAGACAAAAGCTGAGTCTGTGACTGGCAACCATGATAGGCACTCTGGCTATCAGTACGCCACCCAGCTGTAGGGGTGGGGCTTTCACTAGCCTGCAAATGCACAGAGAGGGACGCAAGGACAATTTCTAAATCCTGCCTGTTGGCACACACCAGGCCTGCAGAGAGCCCTCTTCAACACATGGCAAGTATAAGGAAATTTCCAAAAGAATCTGTAAATTACTGAAAGGAAAAAAGAATGCTATATCACCCCATATATCCAGAAGAAAATAAGCTTTTAAAAAATTTACTCAGGGATCTGAAAGAAGGTACAGAAAAGTACTTGACATTCAGGGTATAAGATACAATATCCCTAAAATAGGAGCCGAAAGTCATGAGAATAGAAAAGTCAGAGAGAAAAAAAATGTGAGATGACGAAGGATGACATGAAAACAGGAAGTGCCATTGTAAAAGATCAATACATAGTAAAATCAGTTTAAAAAAATAGCACAGACGTTATGAAAAATAAATCAGTGTTATGGATTACCAATTCAATAAGATTCCCAAAGTTAAGAGGAAAATATAAAGTGAACATAGAGAAGAGATAACTAAAATGGAATAAATGCTATTCAACCCAAACATTATCAATTTTAAAAAACCCAGAAAAATTGGAATAGAAGCAGTATTCAAAGAAATGACTACAGAAAATTTAGGAGCTGAAAAATGCCCTAAGTAAGTGTATTGAAATGACTTTCTAAGCCAGTTCAGAAAAGAAAAATGAAGAGACTCAAGGAAAAAAAAATCAACTACAAGGATAAAAGCAAAATTGTACAAATATTGAGAGAAAAATAAGTAAACAAAAGTAAAATCAGCCCTAGGATTTCTCCCTGCAATATAAAATGAGAAAAGAATTGATTTTGATCCCAAGAATCTTTAGGTGTTCACATACTTACAGTAAATTCCTCCTTTTTACTTTCTATAAAGTACTTAAATTAGGAGATTATGAATGGAGGTAACCCAAAGTTTGGTAGTGCTTTTAACCGAAACAGAGAGCAAGAAAGAGTAATAGTACTGAGAGAAAGCCATTAGACTCTAAACTCTTTGAGGACAATGATCTGCCATGTAGTTCCAGATACTAACATCCAGCCAATACTTCCACAAAGACTGGCAGTGAACACTGAATCAAATTTAACTTCAATTTCAATCTAAATAATTGTTTTAAATTTTGTTACATAATTGAATAAAAATAGAATGTTGCTTAGAGAGAAAATAATTTAATAAATTTAAATAATGTGAATATGGCTCTTAAAATACACATTATAGTTTTAAAATATGAGAAAATGGAGTGAAAAGAAGTAAAAACGTGTTGCAATCCCCCTCTTAAGTGGAGTGGGGAAAGGATCAAAAGGAAGATATGATGCAAAATATGTATTTTATTATTGACTTTGATAATTTTTGACATACAGAATTGTTTTAGAGAAATATGGATGTAATCATAAGAAGAATTAAATACAGGATATATGAGGATATATGCCCTCCTAATAATTGGGGTAAATCAAAATAAGAATAAAAAATTCTAAATAGAAAAAAATACACAGAAAAAAACAAGGAATCATACAAAACATAGCATATAAAACAAAAAAAGACAAGACATACAAATTGTAGCAATAAAAGTAAATACCATTAATTCCATAGAAGCCAAAGGAAAAATCAAACTAAATGTAGCTTACAGGAGACTGTTGAAACAAAATGATATTAAACTTAAAAGAGAAAGGGAATGAAGATGATTTGTTAGGAAAATCCAAACATTAAAATATCAGAAACTACAACACTATTTTCAGACAAAGTAGAATTTAAGGCAAAAATCATTAAACAGTTCAAAGAGGGTAATTTTATATTGACAAATGGTGCATTTGACAATGCATGCATTTGCCACTATTTCCACTTCCATTTAAAATGACTGGAAGGAAATATGGCAACTTTAACAGCAATTATTTCTAGGAGATGTGATCATAGACAATTTGTACTTTCCCAATACAGACTTTTATATATTTATGCCCATAAAAACTTAGGGAGAAAAAAAGTGAACGAAAGAAAGAAAATCATCTACAAAATAAAAGAAATTTAATTGGTTTTTAAGCCCTAATTGTGAAATGAAATGGTGGTTTCTTTGTTCTTAACATGTCTATATTATTTAACATGTCTAACGACCCCTGTTTAAAATGGCTTCTCTGTTTTCTGAGACATTTTTCCTTTCCAGTTCTCCTCTTCCATCTGTGGTTGTGCCTTCTCTGAATTTGCTTCCCCTCTAACTGCAGAGATTGTTCCAAAGTTTCTTCTCCTTGCTGTCACGTTCTGCCTTGTAATCACGTGGATTCAATTACCACCTTGCCCTAGGAGGTTTTTATCACCTCCTTACTCTGGTTCTACCTTCTCAACCATTCGGTGGATGGACATCTCTACCTGAACATCTTAGTGACACCAAAAACTCAGTCTATCTACAACTGAAGTAACGTTGTTTCATTTGTCATTAATTAAATGAATATCTATAGGGCACCTTCCATCAGATTCTGGGATTACAAAGCAGATTCCTGCCTTCCAAATGCTACGAACCTAAGGGATCCTTCTAAAATTTGTTCCTCTTTCTTGTTCTCTATTTTGGTAAAAGCACTATCAACCTCTGAACTACCAAGGCTCACCATCTCTGGCCTGCTCTAGTTAGCTAGTTAGTTAGTTAGTTTGTATACCCTTCGCCCTCTCTTGCTCCTCCCATCCAGATAGCTGTCTGAAGCTATATTTTCAGTTTCCTTCCTGGTCTTCATCTCTACTGTCTACTCTATTCATCTCTCACCCATACTTTTGAAATAGCCTCCTAAATTATCTTATTACCTCCAAATCTCTCCACTTTTGATTTATCTCATGACCCACTGCCAGTTCAATCTCGCTGAAGTAGAACTCCTGGATTCACTTTCACGCTTCCAAGTCTAGCACAAGTGCAGGTAATTGCAGAAGTTAATCAAAATATTTAACAACTGAATGACATGAGCACCAGCCAATCAAACATGTGTCAGATAAGTTCTAACTGACCAGAACAAATGCCAGATGTAAGGAACCAAATACAACCACACAAGCGCTTTCCATCATTCCTGGATCTACCCACCCCTACCCTATAGCCACACGTGTTCTTGGGGCAGAGATTCCAATATGTTCCCCAAAACTCTATTACATTTGTCTCAGACACAACAGCTAGACCACATTTCCTGTTCTGTTAGCTCTCATCAATGGAATAAGTATGAATCTTCTCAGCTGAGTGGATTAGGTGTATATGCCTCCCCCTTGGTTATCTTCACCCATTCAGATGACTTGGAGGACCTGTGAGAGGGCAGAACTACAAAATGAAAGAAGCTTCATCCCTGAACGACCATATCATAGGCCATCTGAGAAGGAACACCACATTTGGCTGTGATGGAGCAAGAAATAAATACTTATTGTGTTAAGCCACTGGTAACTCAGGATTTATCTGTTTCTGGAGCTAGAATTCCCCTCTTATATCGTTCTCTCCTGTTTCCTTAGTACCCTGCATCCGTCTCTATTAGAGAAACATTCAGCCAATAATTCATATGCTTTTTTTGGTGCATCTATTTCTTCCTTTACACTCAAAATTCCTTGAGAGCAAGGATACTCCTCTTTATTTTATCTCTAGAACATAGCATACCTGCCTGAAGTTAAATACTCCCTGACAATATGC